TCAGATGAATCAATTTGTCTCTTTTTCTGCCCAGGAATCTTCTTCCCATTTTTTAACTTATTTCTATTTTGAGGTTTTCGGCTTTTAACTTTGTTTTTTGGCTCATAATCAGATTCTGTTTCATCACAACTGCTTCTGTCTCTTTCTTCCTCAGATTCTGAATCTGAACCAGACATTTGCCAATCTTCATCTTTATGCTTTTTTCTCTTAACTTCATTTGATGAGTCATCAGAATCTTCACTGCTAGAAGACTCCTCTTCTGATCCACTATTGGATGAAGCTTGCTGCTGCTGCTGTTGTTGCTGCTGTTTCTTGAGCATTGCCCATCTCTGAACAGCCAGAATACTGGGATTAGATTTCCAAAAATCAGCTCCATCAACTTTCGGTGCTTCTGCTTGAACTTTGTTTTCTCGGGAAGTATCTGACTCAGACTCTGACTGACTGCCTGATTCAGATCCAGAGTCACTGCTGCCTGACCGGCTACTGCTTCCATCACTACTGCTTCCAGAAGTCGAACCAGATCCAGAGCCTGAAGCTGACCCAGAATCATCCGATTGGCTTGAGTCTCCACTACTGTTTCTAACACTTTCTTCATCACTATGTCCATTCATTGTAAATACCAAGAAGTTTTAAAACAAAATATAAATCTTCTCAGTTTAAAAAATGAATATAAATATTGACTCTTAATATAAAAAATTCACAGATGAACTTTCTTCAACATTCACAGATTTCACAGGACTGTTTAGGGCCACTGGCAAGCGGGTGGACGGGCGGGCCTTGCGGGGCAGAGGAGCTGGCTTCGGTCAGCAGCCTCCCCCGCGCCCGAGGTCTCCGACGCCCAGTCCTCGAGCTCCCGGTGTCTCGGGGTAAGCGGTGTCCGTGCGGGGAGGGGGAAGGGGAACGAGTTGGAGGGGAAGGGGAAGCCCCGTCCCGAGGCACCTACCCGCGATCTCCTGGCGGAGCAGATCCAACAATCAGTCTTATTGAAGCACCAACAGCGAGGGCAGCAAGAGCAAGCAAGAAGTAACGAGTCGTCGTCGCCGCCGTTGCGCGTGCGCTATCGCCGCTTATCGGCCCCCGGCAGCCGCTAAGACGCCGAGAGAACTACAACCGTAGCCGCCGCCTCCGCCACCGTGGTCGCCGTCGCCTCCGCCTCCCGCGCGATATAATCTCCTCCGCTTAATCCCTTCCCTACTGCGCAAGGACTGCTGACGCGCGAGCACGATGCTCCCCTGCTGCTGACGCTCAAGCAGTGGGCGGGGCTACGTCGTGGAGTCGCTGAGCGTAGAGCAACTATATTGGCGTGGAGTCGGGGCGGAGAGATAGTGCGCGCATGCGCACTGATGGCAGCTCGTAGAACAATCTCGCTTGGGCAGGCGGACTCTGGCCGTGGCTTGCTGATCTTCGCTCGCTCGTGTACCCGCCCTTACGGGACGGGGCGTTGTGTTCCGGGAAGTAAGGGCTGCAGGCTCGCACCGCGCAGGCATATGTCTGCTGTTGTTACACGGGAAGGTTGCGCAAGGATGTTACAGCGGAGATCCTAAGCAGAAATCAGGGAAGTTGGCGGATAGGGAGCAATTAGAGATGGCTTGGGGTTTGGAGAACTGCCACAGAGCTCCACGGAACCCGTTGCACTTAGGGTCTTTTAGCCCAGGTATCTAACTGCTCCTCCCGGAGACACCTGAGCCAGTCTGAGCCCTTGGCCAGAGGGGTTTTTGTGGTTTTTAAAAAAGGTTTTTATGATGAATAAATCACTGAATATACCAAATCCAATCATTTGACATCCAGTCTCATTTCTGTCAATACCGTACTTTGTGACTATCATTACTTTTAGCCCTGTCCTAAATTTGGAAGGCAGCTGTTTGGATGGATGGCTGTAAGAGATCTGTTTTTGTCCCCGTTCCTGAGAAAGGTAATCCAACAGGATGTGGAAACTATTAAACAACAACAACAGTACAGACAGAGAACTTCCAGAAGTTTAAGTTGGATTTAGAAGAGGCTATAGCACCAGGAATATCATTGCTGAGGTCAGATGGATCTTGGCTGAAAGCAGAGAATAACAGAAGAATGTCTACTTGTGTTTCATTGGCCGTGCAGAGGAATTTGATTATGTGGCTCATAACAAGAACAGCTAACAGTGAGAAGAATGGGACTATCAGAACTTAATTGTGTTCATGCAAAACCTATACCTAAGCTAAGAAGTGCTACAGATAGAACAAGGGAGCAATTTATGATTTAAAATCAGGAAGGTATGCATCAAGGCTATATCATTTCTCCATATGTGTTCAATTTCCACACTGAGAAAATAATTCAAGAATCTGAAATTTATTAAGAAGAATATGGCATCAAGACTGGTGGAAGCTTCATGAACAACCTGCATTATACAGTGATACTTTGCTTCCTCAAAGTGAGAAGAATTGAATCGTTTACTGCAGAAGATAGAAGACTGCAACCCTCAGTATGGATTACATGTCAGCATCAGAAATACAAAAATCCTTACTATGGGCCAGTAAGCAACATTATGACAGAGAAAAGATTGAAATTGTCAATAGTTCCATCTTACTTGGATTCACAATGAACATCTTGGTATTTGTTGCTATCATTGTGTACCATTGAGTCCATTACAACTTACAGAGACCCCATAAATAATGGCTCTGAACCTTGTCCTATTCTGAGCCAACCTCACCATCTCTGACATATCTGACTCCATTGCCACAGTCACTGTATCAATCTATCTCATCAAGGTTCTTCCTCTTTTGTGCTCACCCTCTACATTTTCAAGCACCTTGATGTCTTCCAAGGACTAGTCATTCCTGGAAGCATGCCCAAAATATATGAGATGGACCTTCAAAATCCTTGCCTCCAAAGAACAAACTGGTTTCATCTTCTCCAGGAGATGTCTGTTTGTCCTCTTGGTCATCCATAGTATTTGTAATGCTCTTCTCCAACAACAAAGCTCAAAAGATATTAATTTATCTTCTGTAATCCTTAATCATTGTCCAGCTCTCACATGTATAGCAAGTGGTTGAGAAGGCCATGGCCTGAATCAAGCACAGCTTAGTTTCTAGACAGACATCATTGCTCTTGAGCACACTGGAGATGTCCTTGACATTAGGTATTGCTAAAGCAACTTGCCCTTTGGTTTCCTAACTACTGGTGCCAAGAGGGCTGACTGTTGATCCAGGCAAAATTAAATCATTAATATCCTCAATCTTTCTCTATTTATCATGAAATGAAAAGACATGTGACATTGAGATAGTCATGGTATCGGTTTATAGATTAAGGTGTACCAGGCTCAGGTCATGGTATTTTCAATCACCTGCTATACATCTTGTTGTGGTTGTTGTCGTGTACCATAGAGTTGGAACTAACCCATAGCTGACCCTCTGGTGGGTTTTCAACAGCAGTAAATTGCAATAACCTGTGTTATACAAATGACATCCTTGCTTGCTGAAAATGAGGAGGACTTGAAATACTTGTTGCAGACGACCAAGGAATGCAGACTTTGCTATGGATTGCATCTCAAGGTCAAGAAAACAAAGATTCCTACCACTTGACTGATAGGAAACATCATGATGAATGGAGAACAGATTGAAATTGTCAACAACTTCATCTTGCTTGGATCCACAATTAATACCCTTGGTACCAGCAGTCAGGAAATTTGGAGACTTGCACTAGGGACCTCTCCAAATTATTGAGGAGTATTGATATCAGTTTGAGGACTAACATGCATCTGATTAAGGCTATGGGATTTCTAATCACTTGAAGTGCATCTGAGAGCTAGATAATGAATAAGGATAACAGAAGAATTGAGGCCTTTGAGCTGTGATGTCAGAGAAGAGCACTGAACATCCCATGGGCTGCCAAAAGAACAAAAAATATGTCTTGGAAAGGGTGCAGCCGAGTGTTCTTTGGAGGCAAGAATGATGATGAGGCGAGTCAGCAAAGGAGAGGAAGACCCTTGAACACAGTGACTGCCACAATGGGCTCTTGTGTGTTAGGAAGTGTGAAGATGACACGGGATATAGGACAGTGTTCAGATCTTTTGTTCACAGTGTCTCTCTGAGTTGTACTCGACTTGATAGCATCTAAAAACAACAGCAAATTGCATAGGAGGTGATTGCCTATCCTTCCACGGAGCAGTTGGTGGCCTTGAACTATGAGATATCGAGATTGCAGCTCAGCTTCTTGCCATGAAACTACCTGGAAAATGAGTAAGGATGACAGAAGAAGAGTTGTTATCTTTGAGCTGTGGTGATAGAGAGGAATATTGGGTATTCCATGGACTGCCAGAAGAACAAACAGGTATGCCTTAAAGAAAATGCAACCGAAGTGTCCCTTAGAGGCAGCAGGTGAAGCTTCGTCTCACCTACTTTGGGCGTATTATTAAGAGAGACTAATACTTGGAAAGGAACATCATGCTTGCAAAGGCTGTTGTATGCCTTCGAGTTGGAATTGACTCATAGTTGCTCCAGCAGGTTTTCAGAAGCAGTAAATCACAAGGAGAAAATGCCCTAACCTTCTTCCATGGAGCAGCTGGTGGATTCTAACCACATGCCTCTCAGACCTCCTATTAGGCTAACAGAGCTACCTCAGAAGAGATTCCCTCATAGGAAAGGTAGAGATCAGTGAAAGTCTCTTAACAAGATGGATTGATTAAGTCAATGCAGCAGTGGCCTCGAACACGTCAGAGATGATGAGGATTGCACAGGATCGGACCAGGCTCGGATCAGTTGTTCCTAGGGTCGCTATGAGTCATAATTGATTCAACAGCAACAAAACAACTAATGTATGAGGAATAGTTAATTCTCTTTTCTCCTGCTTCAGTTTTCTCCTTCAAGACTATGCACAAGTATCTTGACATCACTTAAGATGCATCAGGGTTTTTTTCCCCCTCATTGTGATATTTTTCTTTTATTAGTTATTATTGCTGTTGTGTGCCATCATGTTGGAACCAACTCATAGCTAATCCTCCAGCAGATTTATAGAGGCTGTTAATTGCACTGGAGGAGATTGTTCATCCCTCTCCCATAGAGCAGCTGGTGGTTTCGAATAAGACATTGAATTAAGCAAGTGTGTTCAAACTTTCGTCTTTCAAATGGCTGGAAGTGCTGTGGTAATTTCCTTCATGCATTATTTAATCTTCACAGTTGTGAAACTGATACTCGTATCCTAATTTTACAGATGAAGAATCTAAGACCAACTTCATCTACTTGTTTTTACCCTTTTTATCTACTTTTTATCAACAACATGCCTCCAGAAACCCTATGAACTTTGGTAAATGTTGATAATTGTAGAGGGGCTTCAGGCCTCTTGTTCATAGGGTCGCTATGAGTCATGCTCAACTCGAAGGCAATCAACAACAAGTATTTTGCTAAGAGGAAAGATCTCGTGTAATTTAAATCTAAAATAATCTGATATTAAAAAGTAAACAGATTCTTCCAAACACAAATCCGAAATGATTCTCTCCCGTGATGGAAAATATTGGCAAATGAAGTATTTTCATTGCAATTTGTTTTTTTTCCATTTCCAAGCATTTCACTGATTTCATAAATATACTCCTTAGATTATATTTACCAACTGATGATCAATCTGATTTTATCTCTCATGC